CTCCGATGTTGACTCCTCTATTGGCCCCACTTCTCATTTTCCTTCACTTCTATTATCAGTTTCTGTGTTCAAAATTTATTTACACAAAAACTTTTTTTCTGAATCCAAATAATACATTTTAACTTGTATAATTAAAAAGATTTCTCATTAATCTTTGAATTTAAATATATTAGCACACACGGGCTTTCGGGGTTTAATTATCATATTAATTTTTACTTGATTTTTATATTCAGATCTATATATATATATAAGTAATACCACAAAATATCACATGACTTTTTTTTTTTTTTTTAATCTTATGAAATAAAAAATAAAAATAAAATATCAAAAATAATTATAATTACACATATCCAATATAAAAATAAAATTTAGATATTTTATCTACTTAAATTTTAAAATATAAAAGTAAACTTAATGTGATAATTATAATTATATATAAATTAAATTTTAAATATTAAGACTCAAATTTTAAAATACAAAAATAAAATTAATATGATAGTATTTAAAATTTTAAAATATAACAATAGAATTTAATTTTGAAATTGGTTATAATGAGTAAATTTATCTGTTAAAAAGAATAGTAATTTAGCTGGAGTTATATAATTGTGAAAACTGGTTGTTGGGAGATGATGTATACATGAAATATAATCAATATTTAATAATTTGCAGTGGAAGTGAGTGTTGAGTAGGGACAAGTTTGGTCCGTGTTAATTATTTGAGCTACACTTCTACTTTATATTAACTTAACACTTAAGTTAAAATATACATACAAATAAAAGGAGGAGAAAAATAATAATAATAATAATTACGGGTAGCTTGTTAATATTCAAGCAAACATAATGGACTGAGATGAAAAGAAAATAGCAAATCACTCGCACTACGTTTGGAACAGAGTAATTCAAATATAAACTATGAAATTTATTTTGAAATACATAAGAATATATAAGCTTATTGTAAAAATTACACCCTGCTTATAAAATTAATCCATTTCGGACATACATACAAACAATATGTAAAAGATCTTGATTTTCAAGTGTATATAAATATTTGACTTTTATACCTTTTTATTATTTATTTATGTTTTAATTTTAAAAAATATATATTTTGTCCATTAAAATTAATAATTCATGTCAATCAAGGATGAGCTTTGGCCGACAAGTGAAAGGCGGATTTTATAAGAAGAAAGATCCCATCGCCTTCTTCACCTACAAGATAAATTAATTCATTGCCATGTGCCACAATGGCCTTATGTTATTTCTATTTTTAAAATTTATTTTAATTATTAAAATTTTTATTTTTTAAATTCAATTAAGGCTGTGTATGATTTATTCATTTAAATTAAAAAAAAAAAAACTAAAAATGATCATATTTTGATTGCCGACAAATTGACATTTCATAAAGCTACTACTTAATTGCATTTTATGTACTGTTTGCTTTTTATTATTATTATTTTTTTTTTTTTGACAAACTGCGTTGGGCATTCAATTTTTTCTTCTTCTTGTCTGGGATATGCTATCCCTAGCAGGGCCAGGGGTAGAGGAGGCTCCAAACAATCCTTAAATCAGCTTTTATTTATAGTCTAGGACTAGGGCCATCCATAATTGAAATTTAAGATATATCTTTTTCACATTTTTTGAAATTTTTATATTAGATAGAAATAAATAAATATTTTTAAATTAATTCCACACATTTTCTTATTAGTTGCGTTGCAAAAGATTACGTGTTGATATATTAATAATACCTAAACTAGAATTTCGTTTCTTCATGCAATTTTTGAGCTCAATGAATTATGTTAAGTGTGAGTTTAGTGATATATATATATGGACTTTACCAAATTCATATTTAATATTTACTACGGATCAATTTAAAATTTAAAATAAAAAAAAAATCCATAAAATTAAATTAAATAATTTTTGGGTAAACTTTTCTTACAATAATAATTAATTTATATATGTATGTAGCTGTCCAATTTCTTTAAAGGGAGACACCCTATCAAGAAAAGGGAAGATTGCTTTTCATTAATGAAGTGAATTCCTTTCACTTTCAACCCTCCAATAACAATTTAATTGTATCTCTGCCCCCTTCCTCCTCCACCTAAATATTATCTCCTTATCATCAAAAACCCATCCACATTTCATGTAGAAAGACTTTTAAAATAAATTTTATTATGAATTTCTTGACTTCAATGAAAATGAATTTTTTTTTTTTTTTACCTTTTCCAGAGTTCACTTCAAATTTTTTTGGTATGTAGGGTAATTGTTAATTTTTTATTAGAAATTTATTTTTTAAAATTTTACCATATTCTCTAAACATATAAATTAAGATGGTTCATTTCATTTTATATCAGAAACTAAATAACTAAATATATGTCACCTATTAATTACACAGCTTAAGATGACATAAGGACGAACCTACTATTTAACTTTTTATCAAAAGATTTAAAGTGACCTAATGACGGGGAATCACCTTCCATGATCCAAGAATGTGTCATAAATGAAACCACCTCAATAGAAAAATTAGTAAAAAATGTCTTGTCTTTATGTCAATTTCACAAAATACATAAGCCAACAAAATTGCCTACCAGAATCTCCCTACATAAAAAAAAAGGTGTATATGCGTTGAGGGGCCACCTCCACCCAACTGACCCTCTCTCTCCCCCTGCTTTTCTTCTTTCTTCTTCTTCTCTCTTTCTGTTCTCTAACATGTTCCTGTCTTCATCCCCCAACCTCCATCTTCTCTTCCTCTTACCTCAGTTCTTGTCTTCTTTTTCTTCACTACTACTCCTCTTCTCTTCACTTCACTTATCATTACTACAAAAAAAAGAATTTAATTTCAAGAAACTCCTGAGATTTTTTTACTGTCCGCGCCATGAGCAAACTGGTTGTTGAAGTTCTTGATGCCGGTGATCTTATGCCAAAATATGGTAATGGGTCGGCGAGTCCATTTGCAGAGGTGGATTTTGATGGTCAGCGGCAGAGGACTTGTACAAAGCCCAAGGATCTTAATCCTCAGTGGAACGAACAGCTGGTTTTCAATGTTGCCAATCCAAGAGATCTTCAGAACAAGACGATTGATGTGGTGGTATATGATGATCGACAAGGTGGTCACCACCCCAAGTTTCTGGGTCGAGTCAGGATTTATGGAGTTTCAGTTCCCTTGTCGGAGTCTGAAGCCAGTGTCCAACGCTACCCATTAGATAAACGTGGCATCTTTTCTCATATCAAAGGGGACATTGCGCTGAAGATATATGCTTTTCAAAATGGGTCTGGCTTCGTGCCGCCGGCGCCGGCGAGTAACTTCAGAGCTGAAGAGACCCCATTTCAGGAAATGAATAGGAACGATGTGAGAGAAGATTTCAGGGTTGATGAAAAAAAGAAGAACAAGGTGAAGGAGAAAGAGGTGAGGACTTTTCACTCTATAGGTCATGCTGCTCCACCCCCTGTCTTCCAGTCTAGCCAATGGCGGGAAATGGCGCCGGCGGTGGAGACCAGAATGGACTTCGCCCGTGCCGGACCACCGCAAGCAGCGGCTGTAATGCACATGCAGATGCCAAACGAGTTCGGGTTGGTGGAAACCAGTCCTCCTTTGGCGGCACGGTTGCGGTACAGGGGAGGTGACAAGACTACCAGCACTTACGATTTGGTGGAGCAGATGCAGTACCTGTACGTTAGCGTGGTGAAGGCCAGAGATTTTCCGGTAATGGATCTCTCTGGCAGCCTTGACCCGTACGTGGAAGTGAAGCTTGGAAACTACAAAGGAGTGACCAAGCATCTGGAGAAGAACCGAAACCCAGTTTGGAAACAGATTTTTGCGTTCTCAAAGGAGAGATTACAGGCCAATTTGCTTGAAGTTACAGTGAAGGACAAGGATATTGGTAAAGATGATTTTGTAGGCAGAGTAGAAATCGATTTAGCGGAGGTACCAGTCAGAGTTCCGCCGGATAGTCCACTGGCTCCTCAGTGGTATAAACTGGAGGACAAGAAGAGGGAGAAGACGAAAGGTGAAATTATGCTTGCAGTGTGGATTGGAACCCAAGCTGATGAGTCATTTCCAGAAGCTTGGCATTCTGATGCTCACAACGTCAGTCATTCTAATCTCGCCAACACAAGATCCAAAGTTTACTTTTCTCCCAAGCTGTATTATCTTCGGATTCATGTCCTGCAAGCTCAGGACCTTGTACCGTCAGACAAGGGCCGAGCACCAGAAACTTTTGTCACCGTCAACCTCGGCCACCAGACAAAACCCACCGGCGTGCAAACGAGAACCATAAATCCGATTTGGAACGAGGAGCTCATGTTTGTGGCCGCCGAGCCTTTTGAGGACATGGTCATTGTGACCGTCCATGACAGAATTGGACCTGGAAAGGATGAGATTTTAGGTAGAGTGATTATACCGTCTATCAGAGACTTCGCTGTTACACGGCTTGATAAACCCAAGCTTCCAGATCCCCGCTGGTACAATCTTTTCAAGCCTTCGTTGGCTGCGGAAGAGGAGACAGAGAAGAAGAAGGAGAAATTCTCTAGCAAGATCCTGCTTCGTCTCTGTTTAGACGCAGGGTACCATGTGCTTGATGAGTCAACTCACTTCAGCAGTGATCTGCAGCCATCGTCAAAGCATCTGAGGAAGGAAAGCATTGGAATTCTTGAACTTGGGATATTGAGTGCGAGAAATTTGCTGCCTTTAAAGAGCAAAGAAGGGCGGACAACTGATGCATACTGTGTAGCTAAGTATGGGAACAAATGGGTTCGCACCAGGACTCTGCTTGACACCCTAGCTCCTCGATGGAACGAGCAATATACTTGGGAAGTCCATGATCCATGCACTGTAATCACAGTCGGAGTATTCGACAATGCCCACACCAATGGCCACAAGGAAGACGCTAGAGATCAGAGAATCGGTAAGGTAAGAATTCGGCTATCGACCTTGGAGACAGATAGAGTCTACACCCATTACTACCCATTGCTGGTTTTGACACCCTTTGGTTTGAAGAAATATGGGGAGCTTCAGTTAGCTTTGAGGTTCACTTGTACTGCTTGGGTTAACATGGTGACTCAATATGGCAAGCCATTGCTCCCAAAAATGCATTACATACAGCCTATACCAGTAAGGCATATTGATATGTTGAGGTTCCAGGCAATGCAGATAGTGGCGGCAAGACTAGTTAGAGCAGAGCCACCACTGAGGCGTGAGGTGGTGGAGTACATGCTGGATGTCGATTACCACATGTTTAGCCTCAGGAGAAGCAAAGCAAATTTCCATCGAATTATGTCGTTACTATCTTCAATTTCTCACGTTTGCAGATGGTTCCATGATATCTGCAACTGGAGAAACCCAGTGACTACTTGTCTTGTCCATGTTTTGTTCTTGATACTCGTTTGCTACCCAGAACTGATCTTGCCCACCATCTTCCTCTACCTGTTTGTGATTGGGATATGGAACTACCAGTTCAGGCCAAGACACCCACCTCACATGGACGCCCGGCTTTCACAAGCAGACAGGACAAACCCAGATGAGCTTGATGAGGAATTCGACACATTTCCCACCTCCAAACCTTCAGATATTGTCAGAATGAGGTATGACCGGCTGCGAGCTGTGGCAGGTCGAGTACAATCGGTTGTCGGAGACTTGGCTACGCAAGGAGAAAGAGCACAAGCCATACTTAGCTGGCGTGATCCAAGAGCTACAGCTATCTTCATAATCTTCTCGTTGATCTGGGCTATGTTTATCTATGTGACTCCATTGCAGGTGGTTGCTGTGTTGGTTGGGCTTTACATGCTACGCCATCCACGGTTCAGGAACAAAATGCCTTCCGTACCTGTCAATTTCTTCAAGAGATTACCAGCAAAATCAGATATGCTACTGTAAAAAGTCAAGGCACTATAATCAGTTACCATTCATTTACTCCATTATTGTGCAGAAGCCAGTAAATAAAGTCATATCTGCTATAATTATAATTGCAGAATACAGGAAAAGCAGCTATTTGCGTTTGATTACCTGCTGTCCCACCAGCTATAAAAGAATCCGACTTTTTCCAGAGTTCCATATTTTAACTTGTTTCTGTAAAATTCACCTTGGGTAACGACCATTCTTTTTGGCACTGTCTTTCCAGATTTCTATTTAGGAATAAGCACTCATAGCTTGTACTTCTTGAAGCAATATCCAAAAAGTCAGCTGAGTAAACAAACTGCTGGCAGCTTATCAGTACATTCAACAGCCAACTAACTCAAAGTTCTAAGGGGATAGATGGAAGTGTTATTAATTATATGATAAAAAATTTAACAGAGTTCTGACAGATGATATAATTGACTCAAAATTTGGCAACAAAGAAGCTCGCTTCTAGGATTGATTACTCTAAAAATAAAGAGAAAATCCATACATGGTACTAATCTTTGATGAAATTTCTCTCCAAAAAAGCAGATGTTCTGTTTTGGCTTAGGTGGCTATCAAAACGTGTGAAGAAAAAATTTCTTTCCTTGGTCTGATTTAATAGTTTATGGAAACTTTGTGTATATTGCAGTTTACTTTTGATCTTTGACATGTGACATGAAAGTTTGTTAGACTGATGTCTTTAGTGATTTGCCTCTGACAAATATATCAACATTATGTGAAGATAATGCTAAGTGCAGTTTACGTACTCATTTCAGTTGATAAAATTCTAGAAGGTAATTTTTGTTGCATTTTATTGTCATCTACTCTGGCTTGATTTAATAAGCAACATCATGGTGTTTTCCTAGTTTCCTGCCAACAGAGATACTAGGGATAGTTGGTCTCTTGGATGATCTCCTCATAATCTTGATCTTCTTTCTCCATATTACTGCTTTATATCAGTCAGTATTCTATTTCCGGCATGAAGGTAGTTCTTGAACTCAGCTGAATCAATTGTATAACTTTTTTAATTCAAAAAAGTAATTCACAGAAATTTAATAAAAAATATTACAGGGATGTGATTTTGTAGAGAAATCTATCACATAGTATACACTAGTCTCCATTATATTGTTATTGTTCTCCCCATTTTATTATTGTTTTGTACGATACAGTCCCATTTCACTAGGGATATGATAATAGAACTATAGAAATTAGAATTTGATTATCTTGATTGATTTTGTATATGAATATAATATATTATAATAAAAAAATGCGATAAATTTTGTAAATGATATACTATGAAGACTCGTTTGGAAGTAGTAAAGTAATTGGACAACGACAATATCAACATTTATATGATAGAAAAGTGAAATCCATAT